AAAAATAAAAGTCCTCAATAAAATTAATCAGCATTTTCGTTACGCATACTTCTTTTTAACGTTTCCTGATTTTATCTGTGTTTCACTAATCATTGTTTTATGTACACCACTTAGAGTGGTGCCTTTATTATATACATATATAAAATATTGAAATATATTAAATATCTCTTATATCTTCTAAACTTAGAGATCTCTGGTTAAACAATGGTGGGTGGTAGTGGGAGAAAAGCTTTCCTAAAACTGGGGACTGAATTCTTTTCTGTATGAGGAAAGAGTGAAATTCTGTCAAAGTTTCCAGCCCTCTCTTATTACTAATTTCTGAAAACTATTGGCTTGTTCTTGGGCTCTCTCTGCACTATACGTTTAAAGCCATATCATAGCATTTCAAACAATCATGGCTTCCCTCCCCTGAAGAATCCAGTGGACTAGGGTGCACTGAGTGTTGTTCCGCGACCTTTATTTCCCTCAGAGGCCTACAATTCCCAGAGTTCCCTGGAAAGAGGGATTGATGGTTAAATCACCTCAAATCATGTGGCTCTGTGAGGGGAAAAGGGGTGCCCTAACAGTTCCCAGCACCCCTAACAAACTCCAGTCCCCAGGATACTTTGGGGGGAAACCATGGCTTTTTAAAGTGGTTTGAGATTGCTTTAAATGTATACTACCGATAAGGTAATTACACATTCCTCACCATTTACCTAAATCTTGTAAAAGCAATAAAAAACATAAGAAAAGTCAGCCAAGGGCCCATCTAGCCTGGCAGCCTGTTCTCACAGTGGCCTATGGGAAACTCATAGGCAGGACTTGTGCACAAGAGTCCTCTCCTCTCCTGGGGTTTCCAGGAACAGATATTCAGAAGCACTGTTGTCTCCAACTGCAGAAGCAGAGCAAACCATCATATGTCTAGGAGTCTCCTATAGCCCTCTCCTCCATGAATTCGTCTCATTATCTTTTAAAGTCATCCAAGTTGCTGAGCATCACTGCCTCCTGTGGGAGCAAGTTCCTCAGTTTAACTATGTGCTGCATGAAGAAATACCGTATTTTTTTCGTGTATAAGACGCCCCATATTTTGGGGGACTAAAATTTAAGAAAATGGGGGGAGATGGCACAAAGTTGTTGAGGTTTTTTTTTTTTTGGGGGGGGGGGGAGGAATTGCCCAAGGTTGTTGAGCTTTTTTTAGAGGAAATTGCTGATTGCTGAATCAGGAAATTGCTGATTGCTGAAAATCGCTAACCCACACGCCAGCAGAAGCTGCCAATCGCCCGCCCAATGGCCACAGTGACAGCCAATCAACACCAGCCCTTCACACAGCTCAATAGCCTCTGATAGCCACGGCAGCAACCAATCACACCCCCACCCTATGCACTGTCCATGTATAAGATCACACCCACTTTTTAGCATACTTTAACACCCCTCCAAAACCCCTAGTCTTATACACGGAAATGTACGGCACTTTCTTTCATCGGTCCTGAAACTTCCAGCATTCAGCTTCATTGGAGATCCACAAATTCTAGTGTTATGAGAGAGGGAAAATACTTTTCTCTACCTACTTTCTCCATGCCACACATACTTTTATAAACTTCTGCCATGTCACTCTGCCTTCCTCTTAACTACAACATCTCAAATGTTGAAACCTTTCTCCATCCCCTTGATTATTTTCGTTGCCCTTTCAGAGCTTTATTTCCAACTCAGTATCTTCTCCATTGTGAATACCTGTGAGAATTATCATAACCTTCTACAAACTCTGTGTAGGCTGGTCCATTAGGGTGGATGGAGGGGCTTCCCCACCAACTTCAGTCTGCCTTCAGCCAGCCAACCAACCAAGCAACCAACCCCTTGCCTCTCTTCTTACATTACAGCCAATCCAAGAGCACAGCCTACCAGCTTCCTCCTCCTTAGCCTTAACGTTGTCCTTCTATGACTCAACAGGGAACAAAGCAAGAATTAATTGGCTCTGGCTGACTAGCTGTGGCGCCATCTACTGTTGGTCTTCCTGCATTCCACCCTACCAGTCCCAATGGGCAACAGCCACTACTGCACAAACCTACACCCAAGATTTATAGAACATGGAGGGGCACAACCCAGACCTTGTCCAGGAAAATCAATTTGAAGCCTAGGGAAATCAATTTTAAACACACATGAGCTGGGAGTTATCATTTGTGGTGCACTACCATGCATAATGGGGGTGGGGCGGAATACATTCAAAACACAACAGAGGTTATCAATATCATTCAGGCAGGAAAACAAAGGGCAGGCACCCCTGCTATACTGTTTTAGATGCCTTGCTAAATGCTCCCTTTTTTATTTCGACAAGCCTATCCAGATATATAATTCAGTATTTGTTTTTAACTTCTGCTGGCTTTATCTGTGTAGCGTTGATAATTATTTTATATTGTTATAAATAAAAAAAATAGGAAATACTTGTTTTCATCACTTGTTTTATGTACATTGCTTATAGACTGATTTTTTTTTTAATTAAACGGTATATCAATTCTTCTAAATAAATATTCATAAATCAAAGTATGGTTGTACTTCTGCTGGCTCATAAATTGAACTTAAGCGCAATGGAGAACAAAGCCCTCCACATTTGTGGTGGAGTGTCTAGGAGTGCAATCCTATATCTTCTTTTAATGGGGAGTAAACTCCATTGAATTAATTGAGACCAGCATTGGGCTGTGGGGCTCCTTCTGTACTATACTTTTAAAGCAATATACTACTTTAAACAGTCATGGTTTCCCCTCAAAATCCTGGGAATGATGGTTTGTTGAGGATGCTGAGAGCTGTTAGGAGACCCTTGAGCTCCACCTTGGAGCTTGTTGTTCTACCTTGAGCTCTTTGGAGAAAAGTTAGAATATAAATGTGATGATAAATGCAATAAACAAATTAAGGTGTTCGGTGTCAGGGATCTCAGCAGCACTGCACTTTGCAGTGTGCCCTGCCACCTTACAAGGAAATATATATATATATGGCAGAAGGAGGCCCAGGGCTCAGGCCACCTTGCAGGGCCGCCCCTAACAATGCTTGTACCAGTCTCCCAGCACCACGAAAACACCTCCCTCTCCTTCCCTATCGCTCATGGGCCACAGGTGTGCAGATGCAGTGAGCAAGTATGGGACATGTATGAAGGAAAGGAAGGAGAAACAAACCATTAGAAGGGAGGCAAACCATTAGCATCAGTGGGCCCTGCCAAGGCATTTAGGCCCCAACAGCTACGTGAACAAGCCGGGTGCTGTCACCATCCCTGATGAGATTGAGTTTTGCTTTCTCCGGAGAGTGGCGGAGTTTAGTGCACAGTGATTGTAAAAATCTTATGTTTTCAGTTCATTGGCTCCCAAGCGTGCAGACACAACTCTTGCATGCTTGTTCAACCTCAGCCTTGATCCAAATGTCCTTTATCATCCCAGGAGTAGCATGCCTCACATTTAGATGGGTATATTAGCATGAAAAAAATGCATATCAATAATGAGAAACTAATAAAAATATATATATTTTCTTTTTTTTTACATGCAGGCTTCCTTTATGGGAAATGGTAGCATGTGACACTCCCTTTAAAACATATGGACCTTTTAAAAGGGATTAACCACATGGGGGAAAGAGAGAGAGAAAGGATGAAAAGAAGTTAACGAAGGAACATTGGCATAAATGCAAAGATGGAATGAAAGGCTGAAAGCCAAGGATAGCCAACGTGATGTTCTCCAGATGATGATGGACCACAGCTCCCATCATCCCTGAATATCCCCCATGCTGGGCTGAGGCTGATAAGAACTGAAGTTCAGCAACTTTGAGAAGATACCCCATTAGTAATCTTCATACTGGGGAGATTTGAGGCAGGGAGAGATTGTTTCAATAGGCGAAGAGGCAGGCCAGGAGAGCAACGTCTGGCCTGGCAAAAACACGACACATCAGTAAAACATGTTCTCTCTTGGCAGCAAAATGGACGGAAGGACACCTGATTGGTTGAGTCCCACACATGAGGAAAGAATCGTAAGTTGGTACAGGTTTCACTTTAAAAACAAGACGATCATTAAACATTAGCAATACAGTAAAGGCACCACCCACGCTTATTTATCTTCAGTCCAAAGTAACAGGAAACGGAGGAGAGGGAATCAGGGTAAGAAAAATTTGGAACTGGCTGAAGAGCAACTGGCTTTATTCATTGCCCATAGATAGGGCAGCTTAGACTGGGGTGAAGAATCCCCACCAAAATCCTGCTTCTTCTGGCCCTACCCCCACCCCCTGAAAAGTCCTGAAAAATGTAAGACATAAAAGTGGGGGCTAAAATCATCTCTCATGTGAGCTTTCCACTTCCTAGAAAGTCTCCATATGCTTGTCACTGTAACAGTCTTCACAGGTTTCGCGTGAGTCTTTTCTTATGTTTCGTATGTATATAGATATTTTTTGCTTGCTTGCTTGCTTCTTTAGTGACGGTACAAAAAGAAAAGAAAAGGAAACACTAAAACGTAAGGATTTCTACCCAGGCGTTTGCTCTTTGTTTCAGCTTCCCCTTCTTCTCCACAGATCTTAAAATTTGTACAAAAGAAAGCCCCGAACTTCACAATGTCCCTCCCACCCTGATGTATCGTTTTGCGTTGATGCCCACCTAGCCCAAGGCAGGGACGTTGCAGAAAAAGTTCTTAAGCTGATGGATGGTGTCTCTAGATTGTGCTACTTCTCATCATGGATTTGAATTTGGAGTAGAAAGAAAGAAAGAAAGAAAGAAAGAAAGAAAGAAAGGAAGGAAGGTTCAGTCCCAAGGGGTTGGTTTCCAGTGTAAAATACAAATGGAGTTCGAACAACCTTCGGTGTATATTGCTATATAGCGCTAACCCAATCTTCGGCTCATAGCTGGCTACCTTAACCAGGAACCGCCGCCTCCCCTCCACCAGGAATGTCCACCTCTCCTTGTTCCGAGCTTCTGATCTTATCTCTTCCAGTTGTGTTTGTGTTTTTCCCCCTTGTTGTTTTTTTTAATTAAAAAAAAAAGAATAAGAAGAAAGTTGATCTCAAACAGTCACTTCTGTCTTGCTGTTGGTGATGAAGTATGGCTGTGTGGGTAAGTAATGCTGACTCCGCGTCGTGAGTGGATCACTCCCCGCCGGATCACCTGCGAGGTTCCTTCCTTTGGTTGCATAGGCATGCCTTCGGAGGGACTGGTCGCTAGGGTCCCAGGTTTTGTACGCTAAAGGGTGCATGTGTGGCTTAGAGGCTTTCGACTTCTGCCCGTTGTGTTTCATGGTGCCACCCTCGAGGATGTGTGGGCGGTCATCCTCCATATGCACCGGGTGGAGGGGCAGGTTCCCCTTTGCGGCGAGCTCCGAGAGATGGCGCCGTTTGGAGTAGAAGTCGTCATTGACCTTGTCAGCTGGTTAAAGGAAAAGGAAAGGGAAAGCAACGTCAGCTAAGAGTCAGCGGGAAAAACCCAACAACCTTTGAAATACCATACTGGCCCAAATATAAGGTGCACCCACAAATAAGTCGCACCTTTAAAATTCAAGGGGGGGGGGAATACCCAAATATAAGCCGCTCCCTTATAATTCCGCAGGCACTCATACCCTTAAATGGCAAATGTAGAAGAAAACCTTACAGCGATATCGTAAAAGCCAATTTTTGTAAGGTCGCAAATTTAAGCCGTACTTTTCACGGTCAGAATTTTTTGGGGAGGGAAGTGCGGCTTATGTTCAGGCCAATACGGTAAAACAGGCAATCGACAGGCGACACTGTATAAAAAGACTGCGACATTGGTTTAAAATAAGATACGCTTCCAGATGGGAATAACACTGTCTACATAAATAGCGCTTATCAAAATAAAAATACAGTGATTTTTCCCTTACAGAAGGGATGGGGAAACTGTGGTCTTCTGGACGGTGGTGGTGGACTCCATTGCCCACCAGCCCCAACTGGCATGGCCAATAGCCAGGGATGCTGGGAGTTGTAGTTCCACAAGATCTAGAAGGCCACAGGTTCCCTATCCTTGCCTTAAAGAGATCTGTAAAATCTTAGCACAGCAGACATTGCTTTCTTTCGCGGTGCTCCAACAATTCATACAGTCCTACAAGTCTTCCTGGGGCTCTAATCCATTTAATGGATGATAGTTTTCTGGATTTTGTCCTGGCATTTGTTTTATTTTTTTATTAGGTTTTAAAACATAATTATTTTCAATATAATGAACAATTACATAGCATTATTCTGATTATTTATGATTTCACATATGTCATGGGTAATTTGGATGGCTATTTGTAAACAAGGAGAAGACACAAAAGTGAAAGATTATATATCATAGCTGATGCCTGACAGAAGGAAAACAACAGATAACCACATGATCTACTATAAAAAAACCAGTGGGATGTATCCAATGCTAGCCCTACTCAGAGTAGACTCTTTGAAGCTAATGGACATGATTAACTTAAGTTCATTAAATTCAATGAATCTGAGTGGAACTTAGATGAAGACCACCCTTAATTTCAATTTTCTACAGGTTCTGATGTTTATTACAGCCTTTGATGGCAGGTATTAAATTTCAATATTGTTTCTATAAGAAGTAAAAATATATATGCCATGCTTCATAAAAGTTGCTTGGTGTCCCTAGATCTCTTCACAAACCCACTTCATGCATTAGTATTTTGGCTATCACCTACAGATATTTGTGCATCATAAATCCAATTAGGTACAGATTTTTCAGTTCAGCTGCCAAAATAGGAAAGAGAAGTAAATATGAAAAATTAGAATCTTCCAAAAAGGTTATTTTTAATTCTCAATTAATAATAAAAAAAACAGTATAATAATGTGGCTTTTATTGTTTTTTATATTTTACAATTCCCCTCTTGGGAAGGATCAACTGGAGAGGCAGATTATAATAACTACAATATTAAGGTATGCTTTTCTCCATGTGTTCATGTTGTCAAATGTCCTGAGGTTCACCCAGATGGGATGGCCTTTTGGGTGGTGGTTCCCTTGCCATAGTATGCTTTTCTGTTCTCTCTCTCTCTCTCTCTCTCTCTCTCTCTCTCATATTGGTCTTTTAGTCCCTGCGGTTTGGCTGGCACTTGTTTTAGCTCCTCTGCTTACTGATTGTTGTTTGTACCTGTGATTTACCTTGTATTTCATTATGTTATTCTTTCTGCACTTGGGTTTCATTCCTGGTTAATTTTTTTAAAAGGTTTAAGATAAACTTTGTTAAGAGACCAGAAACCATTTTTATTAGGCATTTCAGGTCAAGACATGCAAAAAGAGAAGAAGAAACTCTTCATGTATGCTACAACTGCGGCTAGGATATTGCCATAGCTGTCAACGTTTCCCCTTTTTTAAGGGAAATTCCCTTATTCCAAATAGGATTCCTTGCAAGAAAAGGGAAAAGTTGACAGCTATGGATATTGCTAGTCCCAAAATGGAAAAGTGATGAAACACCAGCCAAAGAACAATGGCAACAAAAATTTATGGAATATGCTGAAATGGCGAAACTAATTGAAAGACTTAGAGACAACGACAATAGAGACTTTTTAAAAGACTGGGAACCATTTATTAAGTACTTACAAAAACAATGTAAAGAAATGGACACATTAGCAGGGTTTGAGTAAACACAATTGATGGTAAAACGATAAGAGAACAATATGCGATATAAAGAATATTCAATATGAAGATGTAATATAGCAAGCAGGGGAAGCAAACATCTTAAAAAATCAGAAGAGGATGTTGAGGGAAGTCCAAAGGGGGCGGGGATGGGAATCTGGGGAAATGTTTTATTTTTCTTTTGTATGTGATATTAATATGATAAAAAACTGTAAAGCTCAATAAAAATAATTTTAAATTTTTATTTTTTTAAAAATTCATTTTGGAGTTTTACAATTTCACCATTGTGAAGGTTTTGTTTTGTATGGCACCTAGAGATCATGTTTTATGAAGCCAGTAAATAGCTAATACAGTGGACTTAAGAACTTAATTCATTCTGGAAGTCCCTTCTTAACCTGAAACTGTTCTTAACCTGAAGCACCACTTTAGCTAATGGGGCCTCCCACTGCTGCCGCGCCACTGCCGCGCCACTTCTGTTCTCATCCTGAAGCAAAGTTCTTAACCCGAGGTACTATTTCTGGGTTAGCGGAGTCTGTAACCTGAAGCGGCTTTAACCCGAGGTACCACTGTAACAGCAAATAAATAAATAAGCAAGTATTTACACAAACTCTGGATTGTAGGTATCATCTTCGTAGAGGCTCCCCTGCCCTTAGTCATAGAGAGATGGGTTCTATGTACATAAAACCATAAGATGAGGCTGCTAGATCAAACCAGTGGCCTTTCTGGTCTAGCCTCCAGTTCTTACAGTGACTGGCCAGATGCTCGTTGAAAGCTTGACAAGAGCACAACAGCAAGACTGGGGGGAAATCTTGCCTCCTGCGAATCAGCAGCATTTGGAATCTGAGTTGGACTCAAGAAATACGGCATTACTCTAAGAGGCCCCCTGCTGCAATATGTATGGGGATCGTCTAAAATATGGGTGGGAAATATGTGACCCTTCAGATTTAGTTGGGTTCTAATTCCCATTACCTCTGAAGATGGAGCAGACTGGTTGGGACTAATGGAACTTGGATCGCAACAACAACTGCAGGACTACAACATCCCCCAGCCCAACCGAAGTTCTTTTCCCCTTGAGAATTAATGTCTTTTCATTTGGAAAAATATGCATGTTCAGTCAATTAATCAAATAAACCCACTCTGGTTCCAGTTTGGGATATTTCTCATGTTTGGGATATTTAGCTGCAAAGACAGATTATACAATGATTGCAATGAAAAGATGTTTGCAGTTTCCAAATTGTTCTACATTCTTGTTGCAAACACATGCCAGATCACACATTGTTCCCCATTCAAAAACAGCAGCTACAACAGACTGGGTCTTTCACCTAGTTTGCTATTCGGAAAGCCAAAGTCCTTGGCTCTTATGAATGGGCCCTTTTCAAAGATCTGCCTATTGTGTTTCATTTCCCACTTTTGAAAGGGAGCCATTCTACTGAAAGAAGAATGGAATCGTTGACTGCTAGGGATGCACAAATCTGTCAATTTCACTTTCAATCTTTCTTTCATTCTTCTGACCTGAAGTCCAGTTCACTCTGTTCCTACTTCAGTTTCTGGTTTTTAAAATAAATTTTAAAATGTATCAGCATTTTAAAGTGCAGCCTTTTCCCTAATACACACATTTTGTGTGTGTCGTTTTCCCTATACACAGAGACTTTTTATGCAAGCAGCTTCCCCCAATATACTGCATTTTCCATTTGAAATTTTCACTCACATGAATTTTTATGCACATCATTTATTGCATTGCAAATTTGGAGTTGTGCTAATTCAAAGGATTGGCTTGCATATTGTTTCTGGAGGTGCAGATTGGGTTGATTTGTATTAAAGTGCAACAATGATCTGAATTCCTCCTCTACCTCTGACTGATTGTCATGCTGGTTATACAGAACCTTCAGCACTGGAGCCAGTATATTATGGACAGGGAACCTGTGACCTGCCAGATGTTCTTGGATTGCAACTCCCATCTCCCCTGAACATTGGCCATGCTGAACATATGCAGAGCCCTGCAGGATCAGGCCAATGGCCCATCTAGTCCAGCATTCCGTTTTCGCAATATATGAAGTTTAGTATGCTTATGTCTGGGAATTAATTTTGATGGAAAAGTTAACAGAAAGGGTACGTGAAAGAAAACAACATAACTTTTACACAACGTGGTCCTCCTTTATTACATATGCATCAAAGAAAGAACATGCATTTAAATCACCTAAGACACATGGGAGCATGTGGAATGATATTTTTTAAACCAGCAACTGTGGAAATATTTTTTTATTTGATTATATTACTAATGTAGGGACATGGGTGGTGCTGTGGGTTAAACCACAGAGCCTAGGGCTTGCTGATCAGAAGGTCGGTGGTTCGAATCCCCGCGACGGGGTGAGCTCCCGTTGCTTGGTCCCAGCTCTTGCCAACCTAGCAGTTTGAAAGCACGTCAAAGTGCAAGTAGATAAATAGGTACCGCTCCGGCAGGAAGGTAAACGGCGTTTCCGTGCACTGCTCTGGTTCACCAGAAGCGGCTTAGTCATGCTGGCCACACGACCCGGAAGCTGTACGCCGGCTCCCTCAGCCAAGAAAACGAGATGAGCGCTGCAACCCCAAAGTCGGTCACGACTGGACCTAATGGTCAGGGGTCCCTTTACCTTTATTACTAATGTAATTACCTGGAAGTAGTTGGGGCTGTTTTTCTTTGGGGGGGGGTTAGGGGAAAACTGTATTTGATTGCTTGTATTTGATTATATGTTGTTCTTCTATTCAACTAATAAAATATTTAAAAATATATATATATTTGTGATGGATAGGATATGGTTCAGATTCTGAGAATGAATGGGTAACAATGGCACTTCCTGCTACACTAAGGTATCATTTCTGGAAAGGGCTTGTAATTCAAGTCATATAATGACTTGTGGGCTTGCAGACATGAGTTTAAAATGTAGCATGAGGAATCAGCTCTTAAAATACTGTCCATCTGCAGATAAGTAAGACTCCAGGAGTACTTAAGTGCTCCAAAATTCTCCAGTTGGGACTTTGCCCATGGTGAATTTCATGGGCAATTATTGCCATGTGAGTTGCTAGGCTTGCATCAAGGACATTAGGTGTTTAACAGCTGCGTGCTCAGAGTTTCTTTTTGGTGCCGTAATATGTTCCCTTCCTTAAAGAGATGCTTTTCCTCCTCCAGGTGAATTTAAATTGCTTTTGAAGGAGTCCATGTTGTAAAATTACGCTCTACACGCCTTACCTGTCTCCATCTGTCTCCTTCTTAATTGGCGCCTGAGTGCTTTATATAACATGCAGGTGTAGTTAAAGGGATGTCTTCTCTTTTTAATTAAAACATGGAATGTAGAGAATGGCCTGTTCCAATTTCCAAACAGGATCTGAGATTGCATCTTATAGGGCTCTTGTCAGCCTTCATTGCTGCCTCCTTTTGGAGATCTGGAACCTATCAGTGAGGCATTTTCTGTCTGCTACACAGACATGGGGGTGGAACTGACCCCCAATGAAAAGGAGATGAGCTCCTTTCAAGGGAAGGCTGAGGAGCATTTCTGCATTCAAGGGCTGTAACCCCATACACTCATCCTCCCCCCCCAATATAATATATTAGTTGTAGCCATTCTGATTTTTTTTTTTAATAATAGTGAAGGATATATATTGGTAGAAGTAAATAAATCTCACTATGTCATTTTCATGAGTTTCTGAATTTTTAAGCACATTTCCCCCATTAGAATACACATGCCTTGGTTGGAATGCAAAAGTGCATTCCAACCAAAAAATTTGAATTTTTGAATTTGAAATTTGAAGTGCAAATTTCAAAGGTGAGCTCATACCTGCCAACTGCTGTGAAAATACTGGCATTGTCACAAAAGCCCTGAAGCCATCACAGCTTCTCACTTTTTCATACAGAGCCCCAAATTCCCAGAGAGCCTTTCCTTCAGTACATTTCAACATGTTACTGGACCCATGCATCCCTCTAAGTTCAGACCCATTTCCCCTTCCACTCAATATGGCACCACTTCCTGTTTCTATGAAAACAAGATCCGGGTCATTTGAATGCCCCCGAGAAAGTTTTTCACTGTTTCCCCACTACTCAGTTGATTGGTCTCCCATAAAGAAGTGATGAGTGGGAAACTGAAGTGGGTGGGGCCTGTTTGCAAGGCCACTGCTATGACTGTGAGGGGTGCCGAGGGGTCATGGGCACTGAACCTGTGACTTTCTGTATGCAGATTATATGCTCTGCCACTGAACTACAATCCTCCCCCATTAGTCTTCTTGTTCACCACTGGGACAGTAAAACTGCTTTACTAGTATTTTATGGATTTGCATTGCAGTCATACCTCAGGTTACAGACAATTCAGGTTGCGTGTTTTCGGGTTGCGCACAGTGCTGAACCCGGAAGTACCGGAACGGGTTAATTCCGGGTTTTGGTGCTTGCGCATGCGCAGAAGCGCTAAATCATGCTTTGCACATGCACAGAAGCACCAAATCACGACCTGCGCATGCGCAGATGCGGCGCTGTGGGTTGTGAATGTGCCTCCTGCACGGATCATGTTCGCAACCCGAGCGTCCACTGTACTAGTATTTTATGGATTTTTGCATTTTAATTAATCATTTTTTAAATGTCATGCTTACATTTATGTTTTTAGTTTCTGTAGTACCTTCAAGAGCCTGTCTGGGCTCAGTTCTAGAAGTACAAAGGGCAAAAAATGTTCAGCACGTTAACCGAAAAAACAGCTTTTTGCTTTTTTTTGGCAAGAGACAAAATCAGGACCTTGGTCAGGCAGCTCCTCAGGGGGTGGAAATTGCCTTCTGATAGGAGAAACGTAGGGGTTTCTTTTCTGATTAAAAGCGTGGGAAGGGTACTCTGTCTTTTGTGCCATGTTTTGAAAGAGTTTTATTACCATATCTCCCATAAATGATTTAGCACTGCAAGCGTCATTAGAGTACTTTGTTTTCCACCCCCATTAACGTTGCAGCTAATTAAATCAAAAGAGGTTTTCCTGGAGTGGCACGGAACCAGTAGCAGGAAACTGGCGAATTGGGAGAACAGAATCACTTAGCTTGGGTGGAAAAACAGGGGCTGGGGATGGAAAATGCTCCATAAAGACGCAGGGAGGAATTCAGTGTCACACTTTTCTGATTGTTCTGTCAGCATTTCTGCTTCCCAGACAGAACAATTCACCCCACCTCTACCCCATATGCTGTTCTAGGGGTTCTCCCAACTCTCCAGATTGCATTTGGTGGGATCCTCTGTGCTGGTTTTTCCTATTGTGCTGGTTTACCTGGTTTACCTGGTTTAGTGCTAAGGTAGACACAATGCTAATTACTGATCTCCTGCACCATACTTTTGGCCTTTTGTGGGGGGTTGAAATGGGAAGAGTGGATTTTGGACAATCTACTGAGATTAGACTGGGAGTGGTATCATTGTGCTTAAGACGTTCCCACTCATGTTTTGTGCTATGATCACTCTGCTACAATTTTTCAAAGGACTGCTACTTCATCTTGGCTTCTTTGCAATTTTTATAAAAGGTAAAGGTAAAGGGACACCTGACCATTAGGTCCAGTCATGGCCGACTCTGGGGTTGCGGCGCTCATCTCGCTTTACTGGCCAGCATGACTAAGCCGCTTCTGGCGAACCAGAGCAGCACACGGAAATGCTGTTAACCTTCCCACCAGAGCGCTACCTATTTATCTACTTGCACTTTGACGTGCTTTTGAACTGCTAGGTTGGCAGGAGCAGGGACCGAGCAACAGGAGCTCACCCCGTCGCGGGGATTCGAACTGCCAACCTTCTGATCGGCAAGTCCTAGGCTCTGTGGTTTAACCCACAGCGCCCACCCTGGAATTTTCATATTTTTCACAAATACTTAGATATGTGTTGGGGCCTCCTGGTATTTCATTTTAATCTTTAAAGAAGCTGTGTGCATGCATATGGGAGTGCTCTGAGTTTGATGGAAACAATAGTGCAGAGAAAAGGTGTGTTTCACCCCCCCCACACCAGCCCCCCAACTTCAGTGGCCCCACACCCTGTCTGCAATTAGCTTCTCTTGTTTCCTTACTCAATCTCCCACCTTTCTTCCAAGTGGCGTAATACAACATACCTGGTTCTTCTCCCACAATTTTCTCTTTGCAAAACTCCTGTGAGGTAGGTTTGGCCAATTGGCCCAACGTCACCTAATGAGCTTCGTGCCTGAGTGGGAATTTGAACCTGGGTCTCTCCAGCCTTCATCCAACTCTCTAACATGAGGCTTCACAGCCAGTTCCCAGGAAAGAAAATGCTCTATCTGAAGGTGTGGTCTCTCAGCATGTCCAAGCCAAGCATGCTGAGACAGAGCACTCTTCTCTTCTACTAGGAATGGCTAGATTCCCTCCCCCCCATCTCACTCCTTCAGAGTTCTCTGGGTATACTGGAGAGAGCGTATAGAATTTATTCTGAAATATGGACCTGCACTTTCTGGTTTATTTGCATCTTCACTCTGTGATGCCAATGGGCAAGTACACATTGATAAAATACTTTTTTCCAGAAGGAAACCTTGATATGATTATACACATGATTGAATCGAGACTTTTGCAGTGTTCGATGCATGCAGGTGGATGACTTCAAAACATGTTTTTGTACCTCCTCTGAAAGGGGGGACTGCATAATTTGGGTATCTGCCCAAAGTAATGCATTACATTATGAATGAAGTGGAGGACTACATCCTTGCCTGCTGCAGGATTTCCCCTCTCTGAAACCATCTGAGCTGAACTTAGGGATGGGAGAGAAATTCAACTCAGTTTGAATTTAAAGATGAACCTGCCAGAGAATATGCAAACTGAAATGCAGCCAGCCTTCTCTGACTTTTGCCATGCACTGCCAAGGAAAGTGTGCTAGGGTACTGTGCACATAAACGTGCAGATATTAGTGAAAATAACATACAAAACAGCATTACATTTGTCCATATATATTTTATAGTTTTCCAATGAGACGGGAGAAATTGCTTCGCAAAAATGTGTATATATCAGGGGAAATGGCATACAAAACATTGCCTATTAGGAGAAATTCACACTAAAACGTGGATGAATTTGCATGAGGACTTCTAAAAGGGGGGAAAAATCATAAACTAATGCAGAAATGTGGAACACTGAACAGTATGGGAAACACATGGAAGAATATTACTATCATGACCTCCAACAGGTCATCTTTTTGGTGCCTTTTGTAGAGTTTATTTAGAGGCCTGAAACTACTTAATTAGACTCCTTGTCTAATTAACTGGCTATAGAAATATATTATGTCATGAGTAAGAGCTGTGCACTTCAGTAAAGACCACAGCATGAGTACAATGATGGGGCGGTGAGCTTCCCTTAAGGCAATCAAATATGACACTGGACAGCAGTTAGGTTTCTTGGGTGCAAGGGATTAGCACAGGACCGAGAACCTATCTCCCTCGACTATTAGCCAGTCCTTTGACGTCGCCCATTGGCTTTGCAGTCAGGACAGTGGAAAGTGTGGTGATTTCATTCTAATACATTAGAAACAATACATAAAGCCAAGTAGAGCCCTTGCTTAGTGGAGGTCCCAACACAAACCTTAAGAGACAGGAAGAGTGAGAGGAGATAACTTGGCTATCAGGACTTTGGTAATGTTGCTAAGAAGATTTCCCAACAACTCCAAAGGCTGTAAAAGATCTGCTTTCCTTTGTTTTCTGCTACATACTTTTCAACCACATAAAGCCTGTTAAAGTGCCAGCCAGATTCCCAAAGAACACCTTGCCCCCTTGGCAAGGCATGAGTTTAAGGATGGGAAAACGAGATATTTGCCTCTCCCACCCCAGACCTCTAGAGCGTTATGAGAAACTGTACCTATAGCATTGTCCACATGGATGTCACTGAATCCCTGCAGTTGGTGGATCTGGGGAGGGTCCCTAGCTGAGTTGGAGAGCACATGCTTTCCTTGCTTATGGTCCCAGGTTCAGTCCGTGAAAAAGACTTGGTTTGACAGACCTGAAGAGCCATCTCCTGTGAGAACAGAGCACTGGTCTCAACCAAATTCTCTGGTGTAATATAAGGTGGTTCCTACCTCATCCCAAGATCCTGAAGCTGAGGCTCCAATATTTTGGCCACCTCATGAGAAGAGAAGACTCCCTGGAAAAGACCCTGATGTTGGGAAAGATGGAGGGCACAAGGAGAAGGGGACGACAGAGGACGAGATGGTTGGACAGTGTTCTCGAAGATACCAGCATGAGTTTGACCAAACTGCGGGAGGCAGTGGAAGACAGGAGTGCCTGGCATGCTCTGGTCCAGGGGGTCACAAAGAGTCGGACACGACTAAACGACTAAACAACAACAACAACAACAACAACAACAACAACAACCTCATCCCATAATGGCTGGGTCAGAACTTTAAGCGACTTCTCTCTCTCTCTCTCTCTCTCTCTCTCTCTCTCTCTCTCTCTCTCCACTACTCCAGGCATTATAAACATCACAGCTTGCGCTCCTCTTTCCCCAATTTCATTTTTTCTTTGCTGCACATGAATTGATTTCAAAGCTGCCTCAATACAGTGGATGCCTGAGTTTACCTGGGGATGAATGTACAGCTGAAAGGCAACCGTCACTGCATGCCTCCAAACCCCATTTTCAACTGGTAATGCCGTGTGCAGCTGTGACGTGTCAACCTCAAAAGACAATGGTGTTCAAAGCTAGCCTTGCCAATCCAATTTTCCACCTCTTTTCTTAAAAAAAAGGTTTTGGGGTTTTTTTTGTTCTTTTTTTAAGGCATCTATCTCAAACACAAACAGCAAAAAAGCACACTGTCAAAACCCACCAAAGCTGCCAATATCCCTACATGGCACATATTTTATGCTTTCCGAATTGTCCTTGTCACCAGGGTGGGGATGGGGGGGGGGAGAGAACTAAACTGACAATGGCTGAACATTCACTGATTGTAAGAGAATTGTCAAGGCTTATGCCGGCACATTTACAGTAATACTATGTGTACATCCCCAGGCACCAGGGCAGCGTGCTTGTACAATGTGCTTGGGAGCAACACTGGAGCTGGTGGAAACAGCAACAAAGACAGACTATAGGTTTATTTGGACCTGTAAGTCTCCCCCTTTTTGAAATAAAGGGAAAAGAAGAGGGGTGCATCTATCAAGAAGGGAGTGAGTTCCAGAAACTCCCACCCCCCTCATTTGGGCATCATTAGAATGGAGGTGGATCCGGGACGCGGGTGGTGCTGTGGATTAAACCACAGAGACTAGGACTTGCCAATGAGAAGGTCGGTGGTTTGAATCCCCGTGACGGTGTGAGCTCCCGTTGCTCGGTCCCAGCTCCTGCCAACCTAGCAGTTCTAAAGCACGTCAAAGTGCAAGTAGATAAATAGGTACCACTCTGGCGGGAAGGTAAACGGCGTTTCCGTGCGCTGCTCTGGTTCGCCAGAAGTGGCTTAGTCATGCTCACCACATGACCCGGAAGCTGTACACCAGCTCCCTCGGCCGGTAAAGCAAGATGAGCGCCGCAACCCCAGAGTCGGCCACGACTGGACCTAATGGTCAGGGGTCCCTTTACCTTTACTTTACTAGAATGGAGGTGGAGGGCCTATCATTTGATAGAGTAAGGGAGAAACTCGTGGCATTGAATGCTGCGAAGTGAGAAATGATGCTGTGGATTTGGGTAGCCAAGCGATGTATGCTATGTGGCCTGCCCATCACCCTTACTCCAGGCTATTCTGTTGCACTTGAGGATGCTTTCCTATTGTTGGTGCAGAAGTAAGAGTAAATGGTTGTCAGTAGGGTTTGGCTAAACACTGTGAGATACCGATGGATCCTGCTCTTGTGATTCACTGCCCCCTGCAGGAGGCAAGGGAGACCTGAGCTAGCGGAGTTAACAGGGCCTGCAGGAATTGAGAGAAGCATGGGCTGCTTCACAGTTTTTCCCACATTGAGATTTTTGCATAGTACACACACACACACACATCATGATTTGCGATATGTTGCCAGGTCAAAAATTATGAAACCAATATCACGATGCAGACTTCAAACTGGCTCTGGATTGATTGGTCAGTGTGAAAAGCTCCCTGCCCCAGCACCAATGGGGTGTGTGTGGTTTTTTTTTGGGGGGGTGAATAGTTTTGAAAGAGTGAAAAGGCTTTTCCTTTCCACCCTCCCCCCAAAAACATTGCCATGAAAATAAGCATTGTGAAGATGCACCTAGACTTTGCTCTCATTAGTGATGTGACGAATCATCAAAACAGTCCACACTAGGTAGCTGAGCTTGGATGCAATAAACTATGGTTGAGTCAAAATGACTCACCATTTTCTCAGAGCATTTTCTATAGTGTCAAAATGTAAAGGATCCCACCCTCCATTCTGACACTCCTTGTGAAGATGTTTCCCAGTTTACATTGCCCACTCTCATTCATTCTTTCTCAAATGAGTTTATTTGCCCTCAAGTGATCTCATCCCATAGTGGTGGTGTTCTGTTCACCACACGATCTCTCATCCACTGGGAAACGTAGATTGTGTAATTTGGATTAAGACCGTCTCTCTCATTGTTGTAAACCACTCTGAGGTCTACGGGTGAAGGGCGATATACAAATGTAATAAATGATAGTAGTAATAATTTACCATCAGTAACTGTGAGACCTGAATGACACACAAAGTTGTGATATACTGTCCCATTCACAATTTAATCCTTGATTGACTGGGATAACTCACATAACTAATCCAGAAGTGGTATCTTCATTTTCATTTGTCTTATCAACAGTGGTGTCATCCCATTGCCAAATCTGATTGGTTGCACAGTGTTTTGACAGCATCCTAGGTATTACATGATTCCTGATTGGTTGGAATGCATAGCTAACTAATCCAGAAAGCCGAAATAAACTTTAATGGGGATGGTGGCACTCAATGAGAGAGTGGAATTTTTCTTCTTCTTCCTGAAATATTTATATCACTCTCCCTCCTAATTCACTATTTTAGCAATAAAAGAAAAGGAAGTAAAATAGAACATATTTGGTGGAACCCAACAATAAACCCACAACATCACAAGATAACTGATACCTCTCATATGATGCCTGTAGCATCCTTGGGACCAGCATGCAATGATTTCTCAGCATTTCAGAAACGAGGTATGCACTTTACCTCTCACCATTAAAATGGTGAAGATGGGAAGTGTCTAGATTGGTGGCTTAAGGAAAGGCTTAAGGATAATGAATCCAGGAGATCCTAAAATCTTTCAAAGGCGTTTGATGCTTCAGTGTATTAGTGTAACCAAATTAGCTTGATCCTACATTGATCCTGGTGATTATCTCCTTGTTTGCTGCAGTTATCTGAATTCCTTGAGAGGTATCACATCACCATGTCTCCCTCTCCCCTCTAGTATGGACTGATATGCCTGTACTATCCCAGCCTTGTCAATCATTCAGTCATTAGGGACCCCGAGGAACTGACTTTTTCTTTTTTTAAAGGAAAGGGTTTTACTAGTGCTGTGCTGTTTTTATTATCTGCATGTTAATAGATTTGTTTTTTTATATAGTATTAGAGTTTAATTGCTATTTAAATAAAGTCTCTGGACCGTAATAAAGATTGATTTAAATAAAGTAATTTACTTTAAAAACCTATTATCTTTTATATGTTTTTAGCTTTTTGTATTTTATCTATGTTGTTTTAATTTGTGGAAGCCACCTTGAGTCCTGGTGTGGGAAAAGCATACACACACACGGATGCACACACCTGTACACAGGGCGTGAGAGGAGGGCTCCTCAGCCATGCCACAGGTTAAATTTCCTGCAGCCATGCCTCCTGTCAGCACTGATTGGACAGCGGGGACCCGCACAACACCAGTGACGTGGCCCAAACACCAATGGAGGGGTGTGTCACTCTCCATTCCCCGCTGAACCACTGCAGGGGGCCAATGCCTGGCTGCCACGCCACCCACCAGAAAAGGTGATTGGACTTCCCAGAGTTTCTTGGAAAGAGAGATTCCCTGTTAAACCACTCTAGACACTGTAGCTCTGTGAGGGGAATAAGGGTCTCCTCATAACTCTCAGAACCCATAACAAACTATGTTTCCCAGGATTCCTTGAGAGAAGCCCTGACAGTTTAAAGTGGTAAGCTGCTGCTTTAAATGTATAGTGCATTTATACATTTATATACTTTAATAAGTACTATTTTATATTTCTATCAGCATTCAGTTCTCCATATAACACCGCAGGACTTGTTTCCCTTACTAAATGTTCTTTTTTTGTTTCTGCAGAAGTGGAACTCTCTCCTTCTGACTGAAAAGCCTGTTGTCTCAGTGACAGCCGACGTTGTCTTAATGGATCTCGTCGGCAGCACAAGGACAGTTCCTTAATGTGCAGTTTTGTCACATCAGTGTGGAAATTTCACTAAGTGCTAAATATGTGGTTTCAGGTTTCTATTCTGCAGGCAACAAAAAAAGGTCCATTGAAATCATCATGCCCATTGTGTGCGAGCTTTTCTCCTTCTTAAAAGTGGCGACAGCTGAAAAGCCTAAATGGTGAAAAATAGTGGGTTTTGTCTTCCTGTGGGAATGGGAACAAGGTCGCAGGCGTTCCAGTTCACAGTAAACATAGGTTTGGGTCAGATGGCAATAGCAAAAGCCTCTTAGGAGGCTTAGCTTGGTGAGAATCAAGTACAGTCATACCTCATGTTACATTTGCTTCATGTGACATTCTTTCAGGTTACGTCCCACGGCGACCCGGAAGTACCGGAAAGGGTAACTTCCGGGTTTCGTTGCTCGTGCATGCGCAGAAATGCTAAATCGCTGTTCGCGCATGCGCACAAGCACCAAATCGTGCCGCACACCTGCACAGATACAGCGCTTCAGGTTGCACTCTTTTCATGTTGCGAATGGGCCTCCGGAACGGATCCCATTAGCAACCAGAGGTACCATTTTATACACTTCCAGAGTTAATGTTAAATAAACTACTTCTGGTAAATGAGCCACCGTAGCTGCTAGAGGGCCATGAAAGTTTGTGTCCCAGGGCCAGTCTGGACCCAGCCCCTCAACTCCTCTTGTTTCTCCCTCCTTGCATAACTCTGGATACTTCGCAAACCATTTTGCCCCTTGATATCACTGGAACCTTCCAAGGGAAAGATGCTGAGATGTTCTTGGATTGAATGTTCTTGAGGGCTGAAATAAATTTCCAAATCTCTGCAAATGAGGGCTCTTGTACTATGTTGCTTGGATCTGTTGGGTCCCAGAGCTCATTTCACATGACATTTCAGTCAACCCTGCTCTGAAGCAAAAAAAGTCAGGCGATGTTCTCCACACAAAAACCCTCCCCAATATTAGCTGTGCGATAAAATCAGCTACGGAATATGTTTTTTTCTAGAATGTAAGAGAGCAATACAGAGAAGTTGTACACTTTATTCTGAACATAAAGCATAAGTTTCCTTGCTGTCAAACTAAGAGCTTTTTTCTTCTTGACACAGAGTACTCTCTGTACTGAATATATTACTTTTAATACTCACGGTAGCTTTCCCTTCCTCCCTAAGAGGAAGGAAAAGTAGTTTGCCGATTTGACTACCAAAGAAGAACTGATCGAATACTTTGCCTTAAAAAAACCCCAAAACCGTGCAAGATACATTTACACCTAGGGATGGATGACTCAATCTGTTCCCATCTTGGGTCAGTTTTGCATGTGTTCATTCATATGTCTGTTCCTTCCACATTATTCTGCCGCTTCATTTTCAAAATCAGTATGAAAACTGAAACTAAATCCTGAAAAGACAGAGGTGTTATGTGTCCTGACTTTCTCAAGCCCAGGAGGTGGGGAGATGGTCTGTCCTGAGCAGGCCCATGACTTGGTGGTGCTCCTGGACTCAACACTGTCCCTGGAGTCTGAAAGCCCTAAACGGCCTCGGACCTGTACCTGAAGGAGCGTTTCCACCCCCATCATTCAGTCCAAGGCTTTTTCTGGTGGTTCTCTCACTGAAAAAAGTAGACTTACAGGGAACCAGGTAGAGGGTCTTCTTGGCAGTGGCGTCCACCCTGTGAAATGCCCTCCCAGCAAATGCAAAGGAAGTAAAGAACTTCACAACTTTTAGAAGACATATGGAGGCAGCCCTGTATAAGGAAGTTTTTAATGTTTGATGTTTGATTATGTTTTATATGTATTGGCAGCCACCCAGAGTGGCTGGGGCAACCCAGTCAGATGAGCAGGGTATAAATAAAATAGTAATAGCAACAACAACAACAATGTGGATGACACCCAGTGACTAGGAGTCCATTTTTCCAGCTCTAGCTGGCCGGCGAGTTACAGCCCCTTTTGGGCAGAAATGACCACTTTATTCCATGTTCTGGTAATGTCTCCGTTAACAAATACTAATAAAAAAAGCACCAAGCTTCTCGAAATAACAACCACTCATTTCTCCTGCCCACAAAAAAACCATACTCAGATTTGTTTGGAGGTGTGGCTTTGAAGAAAACAGCTCTGAGCATGCTCAGAACAGCTCCTGATAGATCATTAAATTAAATGATAGATTTAAATGATAGATCAGCATTAAATGATAGATCAGTTAATGCTAAATGCCTTACCCGGATTGAGATAATGATAACAGGAGGGAAAGGAAAACTACACAAGCAGGACAACTAGTAGCTCTGTTAAAACAAAACAAAAAAATGTGGTTTTTTTCTGCCTGGTGGCAAATGAGTGGGACCTCCTAGCCAAAGAAATACTTTTGGATTGAGATTGGCTGAGTGGTGCAGAGGGATGATTGGCCAGAGAATAGGAGATTGTTGTATCCAGGACTGTCTCTACGTTAAAATGGATTTTGGAAGGATTTGTGGGACAGAAAAGAGTATACCACTAATACACACACACACACACACACACACACACACACGGCATTTCATTTGATAGGGTTGAGCCCTTTTTGTCCTAATGGACCAGCCTCCAGTGCTTAGAAATCCTGATGGGCGCCATGTTGGCAACTTTTGCATAAATTGACCAATGTCTCATACATCTAGACCTGTGCACAATGAAGGACATTTGTGGATTTAGCCAATAGAACTCAAACTCAGCCAGAGATGGGTTACTCACTCCTCTTGAGAGTGTCTCTCCCATTGTATCTGTTCTGCTAACATCTTTCTGTCATGTAAGTAAAGGTGGTTGTCAGATCAGCTAGCCACAAGTCTGACAAACAGATTATCTTTAACCTTTAAATCTTCTTTAAGTTTAAACCTGTCACTCAACCTCTTGGGTTATCCATATTCATGTCTTTAAGATGCATTCCTGAGACATCTTTGCTCAGGATGAGCCATTAAAACTTTGAAGATCCTCCAAATCCATTTCTAATTCCATTTTCCTTTCCTCTGATGTGTAAGGTTCTTTATTATTAGTAGTGTAAAGTAAACGTTGCATTTGAGTCTGAGTAGGGGGTACAGAAGTAATTCCCTGCTTGCTCTGAAATGTGTTGAGCCTTAAGTTATGCTTATGCCATACATTTAAAGCACTTTCATTCCACTTTAAAGAGCCGTTGCTTTCATCAAAGAATTCTGGGAGCTGTAGTTAGTTAAGGAGCAGTAGTTAGTAGTTAGTTGAGAGCAGTTAGGAGACCCCTGTTATTTCCCCAGAGCTATACAGAACTAGAGTGGTTTAACAGTCATTTCCTCTTCACAAGGACTCTGCATGAACCCAGTCCTTGATGGATCATCTTCCCCCACCAGGAACTAAGACTGCCTCTCCCAGCAGTGATCCTATGTGGAACATTACTGCCATGTAGACTTAGAGTGCCCAAGTCCCAATGGGATTCTGGGATTTCTTGGGGGATCTGTTTCATTTCCATGACAGGAAAAAATCATTCCATACTGGGGGGTTTTCAGTCCACCCAGAAGAAATCTTTAATTAAGTTGCCCACATTGGAAATTATGTTGATGTCTAGAACTTGAGGATATCAAATGAAGATGAATGTTGGAAGCTTCAGTGCAGACAAGAGAAAGTCTGTTTTCATATACTTGTAGGAGCAAATGCCAAACTTTAACTAGGCACTGGATGAAGATGTACCTTTTTTGTCTATCCTGAAGCTTCCAGTAACTATTGGTTAATCAAGACATGCTCAGAGCCCCTCTCCTTAACACCAGTGTTTAATAACTGTTTGCAAAGCTTTACTCTATTTGCAAACTTGTTTTTCTGCTCCTTTCACAATCACTGACAATTGATAGGAAATTGGGGGGATGGGACTGTAAATCTGGCTGTGCTTGCCAAATTCTTTAGGACTGCTTGACAAGCAAAAAAGTGAGATGGATGAAGTGCAGTAATTCTAAGTGTGCCATAACTTGGCATAGAATCTGTTTTGATGAGGGCAGTTCCTCCAAGTGGGCTGTAGCTCAGTGGTACAGCATCTACCTTGCATTCAGAAGCTCCTGGGTTCAATCCCCTGTCAGTGTTTGTAAAAAAACAACAACAAAGGTTCTGACCTCCCTTTGTCGCCTCAGCCTGGTCCTCGGACCCTTGTCGGCATAAAAGTATCCTTGCAGAGTACTTTCTGCTTTTATTCTTAAAAGTCTTTCTACAAAAGCGACTGACCAACTGTACACGCATCAACACTACTACTTTCACTAACCAACCAACCAACCCAACACCAAACTAACATTTCTCACTCTATGTATACAACCCGGTGCAGGCCGCTGACTCATGCTGACCCAGCTTTTTAAGCATTAAAGAAACAGTGGCCAATTTTTAGCCATGACATCCCCAGCATCAGAATATCCCCTGTCTGAAACCCTGGAGAGCTGCTCAAAGTTTGTGGAGGCAATACTGAGCTAGGCAGGCCAATGGTCTAACTTGGTACAAGGCAGCTTTCTGTGTTCCTATGGAGAGGCCCACAACTGACCTTTGCAATATAACAGCTAAGACCAATCTAGTTCCTTGTAGAATCACATAATTGTCAAGTTGGAAGGGATCCCAAGGGCCATCTGGTCCAACTCCTTGCAATGCAGGGATCACAGCTAAAGAACCCCAGAGAGAGGGCCACCCGACCTTTGTTTAAGAACCTTCAAGAAGGAGAGTCTGCCACCTTCTGAGGGAGTCCGTTCCACTATTGGACAGCTCTCGCCATCAGAAAGTTCTCCCTAGTGTTTAGTTGGAATCTCCTTTCTTATAATTGGGATCAGCAATGTGAGATCAGGTGGCTGGGCTAGCTGGGTCTTGGGCCTGATCCAGCAGAGCTCTTGTTATGCTCTGATAGCGGTGGATGTTTCCTTTCTGCTTCTCACTTGGGTGGGAGAGATCCATGGCCCAGGGTGGTGAATCAAAGGGAAAAACCTAGCTGAGCATTATGTGTAAACCTGAAGATACCTGAAGATACATGAAATCATTAAATGTATCATCCTCTGGATGTGACAAACGATGCATTAATCTGTACTTTGCAGCCTGCTTTTTCGGCATTAAACCTGGAGAGATATCCCTAAGGCTAAGACTCCCTTGATCTATTTTCCCTCCTCCTACAGGCGTTTCTGGAAGCTGAAAGTTCAATATTTTACTGCTGTCTGACACAGAGATTTGGAGGAGGGAAGGGGGAAAGTACCACTCTGCTATTAGGTTTGCATTCCCTGGCTGAGTATTTTCAAGGAAACGTAAGTCTCTTTTTACAAGTCTAGCAGCGTTGATGGAAACACGGTCAGAATATATTAGCCCTGTGCTGCTTCGACTTCCCCATTTTTCAAAACAACATCAGACAGCATTATCTGTCCTGGAGCCATGCTTGGATATTTCCTTTTTATTTACAAGAAAAGAGCACCGTTTCTTGGGGGGTATCTTGTCTTCCATTCCATTATTTCCACTGCTCACTCTGTGTATACACACATCTTAGCCAAACTTCCACAGGCAGGAAGCAAGTAGCTTGCCTGGAATTCAGGACCACATTCCAGGAGAAATATCGAGAGGAAAAAGAACTGCAACAACGTTTTTGTACTTCTTACAGATATGCATCTGCCTCCCCCAAATTCACAAAGCAAATTTATATTAAATCTGCATCTTCTAATGCCCATTGATGTTGTTGTTGTTGTTTAGTCGTGTCCGACTCTTTGTGACCCCATGAACCAGAGCATGCCAGGCCCTCCTGTCTTCCACTGCCTCCCGCAGTTTAGTCAAACTCATGCTGGTCACTTCGAGAACACTATCCAACCATCTCGTCCTCTGTCGCCCCCTTCTCCTTGTGCCCTCCATCTTTCCCAACATCAGGGTCTTTTCCAGGGAGTCTTCTCTTCTCATGAGGTGGCCAAAGTATCAGAGTCTCAGCTTCAGGAGCTGTCCTTCCAGTGAGCACTCAGGGCTCATTTCCTTAAGAATGGACATGTTTGATCTTCTTGCAGTCCATGGGACTCTCAAGAGTCTCCTCCAGCACCATAATTCAAAAGCATCAATTCTTCGGCGATCAGCCTTCTTTATGGTCCAGCTCTCACTTCCGTACATCACTACTGGGAAAACCATAGCTTTAACTATACGACCTTTGTTGGCAAGGTGATGTCTCTACTTTTTAAGATGCTGTCTAGGTTTGTCATTGCTTTTCTCCCCAGAAGCAGGCGTCTTTTAATTTTGTGGCCGCTGTCACCATCTGCAGTGATCATGGAGCCCAAGAAAGTAAAATCTCCCACTAATGCCCATTGATAGAGTACTGCATTAGTTTCTGGTCTTCCTCCTTTTCCTTGACCCTCTTGAAAGCTCTTTTGGTGTGTTCTCTAAAAAGAAGGTATTTCTGTGTGCTGTTTTTGTGATCTGGCCAATCAAAGGTTGTATAGCTGGCGTATTATAGTACCATGTAGCAGGTTGATGGAACTTTCTTTCATATGTGGTGGACTTGTAATAGGGTTGTGATAGGGTTGTGTCCGGGGTGAAAATCTGAACACAAATGTTGTTGATTGCCATTTCTGATCTATTTTGAACTATTATTTATGAAAAACAGCACTGCCCACATGGCTTGCCATACATCTGGATTTTCCCAGACATTTTGCCAAGTTTTGCCAAGTTTTGCCTGGACACTCCTTTCAACCACAGTATTCTGGGTATGTCCAATAAATTCTGGACGTATGGCAACCCTAACTTGTAAGAAAGTGAGAGTTTTTGGGGACATGACATATGACAAGATAAAAAGGATGTTTAAAGTGATTATACCAAAACAACCGGAAGCCTTTCTCTTAGGGATTATAGGGACAGAAGGTCCAAAAAAGACCATTATGTCATTTATGTAAATAACAACAGCAGCCAGGATTCTCTACACACAAAAATGGAAGGAAGAGAAGGAAGAAGTAGTAGTTCCCTCCAAAGAAGAATGGATAAGTGAGGTTGTGGACTATGCAGAATTGGCAAAGTTAACAGCCAAAATAAGAGAATCTAATGATGATTGCTTTGTGGAAGAATGGAAGTCCTTTTCGATTTAAGTAAATATTATAGTATGATGAACTCGCAAGCAGGACTTGAAATATGAGCAACAGAAGGAAATAAAGAACACAGTAGGGATGTATTGGTATAAGAGATAGGAGATATTGTACAGCAGAGGGGGAGAAATTAAAACACCATGGAAAATGGGGTGGGATGTCGGAAAAAGACAAATTTATTATGTATTGAAGTATATATGTCAATTTTTTTTGAAAATTTTATAAAATTTATTAAAGCAAAAGGTATTATAGGTAAAGGTAAAGGGACCCCTGACCATTAGGTCCAGTCATGGACGACTCTGGGGTTGCGGCACTCATCTCGCTTTATTGGCTGAGGGAGCCAGCATACATCTTCTGGGTCATGTGGCCAGCATGACTAAGCCGCTTCTGGCGAACCAGAGCAGCACACGGAAACGCCGTTTACCTTCCCACCTTTTATCTACTTGCACTTTGACGTGCTTTCGAACTGCTAGGTTGGCAGGAGCAGGGACCGAGCAACAGGAGCTCACTCCGTCACGGGGATTCGAACCGCCGACCTTCTGATCGGCAAGTCCTAGGCTCTGTGGTTTAACCCACAGCACCACCCACGTCCCTAAATTATAGTACCACATAAACCATCAGATTTCTTTAGATGGTGACATCACAAAACTGTATCAACAGAGTCAAAAGGATTACTGCTCTTCCTCTGCATGGCAGAAGATTTTTACTCCAATTTGCAGCCCCTCAAACTATTGTCCAAACTATAGGAAATTTTTTTTTTCTGAGATCATCTTCTCCCCCACCTCATTTAAGGTCAGGGTTATTCTAATGGCTGCAAGTAAAGCTTGACCTGTTTATGCAATCCAAGTTTTGAACTAATTCCACAGAGTCCCTGAGATAGTCCTCTTTCTAGCCAGCTGTGATGAACAAGTCCAGGTACGTTACCTCTGCTCTTGTCATTGGCGCATGAGTGAGCAGTGACCATTTAAGCATGGGAGTAAAAAAACATGCTTGATGAATCGAAAAAGAGAGAGAATAATTTATGCAGAAAAACCACTTTCAGCACTTTTCTACATGAATAATAAAGTGCTGGAGAAATTCCCCAAGAGACCACAACCGTGTCAGTAATAAGGAAAAGTCTGAAAGCAGAGTTTGGGCACATGTGTCTGAAAACTTTCCCTTAACACTATTGGCCGAAGCAGCCTTTGTAGGACAAATATACTAGGGCTGTGCACATTGGCTCTGTGAATACCACAAATTGTGAGCCAGGGTGGTGGAGAGGGAACCAGGGGGGCGTCGTGGTTACAGTTGGTGGGCCAGGACCTGGGAGACCAGGGATCAAATTCTCACTTGGCCATGAAGCTCAGTGGGTGACCTTGGGCCAGCCACTACCTCTCAGCCTAAACCACCTAACAGGGTTGTTGTGGGGATTAAATGTGGAGGGAGAGAGCCATGGAGCCACTGAGCCTTGAGCTCAATGGAGTAAGGTAAAGGTAAAGGTACCCCTGCCCGTATGGGCCAGTCATGTCCGACTCTAGGGTTGTGCGCCCATCTCACTTAAGAGGCCGGGGGCCAGCGCTGTCTGAAGACACTTCCGGGTCACGTGGCCAGCGTGACAAGCTGCATCTGGCAAGCCAGCGCAGCACACGGAAACGCCGTTTACCTTCCCGCTAGTAAGCGGTCCCTATTTATCTACTTGCACCCGGGGGTGCTTTCGAACTGCTAGGTTGGCAGGCGCTGGGACCGAGCAGTGGGAGCGCACCCCGCTGCGGGGATTCGAACCGCCGACCTGACGATCGGCAAGTCCTAGGCGCTGAGGTTTTACCCACAGCGCCACCCGCGTCAAAGGTGGCATATAAAAGCAATACAGTGGTACCTCGGGATACATACACTTCAGGTTACAGACGCTTCAGGTTACAGACTCCGCTAACCCAGACTCCGCTAACCTTGGGTTACAGACCGTTACAGACTCCGCTAACCTCGGGTTAAGAACTTTGCTTCAGGATGAGAACAGAAATAGTGCTCCGGCGGCGCAGCTAAAGTGGTACCTCAGGTTAAGAACAGTTTCAGGTTAAGAACGGACCTCCGGAATGAATTAAGTACTTAATTTTATTTTCAATCCTAAAAAAAGCTCAACAACTTTGGTCGGCTCTCACTTCATCAAATCTGTCCCTCTTTGAAAAAAGTTTGGGCACCCCTGCACTAGAGCAACAAGACTTTGACCCCTGCTCCTCCTCCTCTTGCACCCTCCATGCCCCCCAGATCAGCTTTGGGGGGTCACGAGAAGCCTCAGAACAGCACACAGAGGGAGGAGAATGAATAACATTCCATTTGGTAAACGTAAATGTTGGCACTGATGGAACAATCGTAATAGTGCAACATTGAAATCCATCCAAAGTCTTCACAGTAGGCTAACTTTTACTTAACGTACACCTAAGCTAGTCATGGTGGTTCATTTCAATAGGCCTACTCTGAGCAAACATTAGCTGAATACATTGATTACCCAATGCATTGAATACCCATTGTTTTTGAGTTATGAAACCAAGAGGTTAAATGCTGGGCTTTGTTGCACACAGCTTAAAGCTTATATATTATTAAAAAATTTAAAGAGACAGGGGATTATCAAAGTGAGACTATGGAAAACAAAGATCCCCCCTCCTAATATTGATGAAATAGTTGGACTTGTGCAAAATAGCTTTGCTAGATTTCTTTTAAAAAATACACGAGGGAGAGCTTAATGAAACCGAAATAGGAAAATGTGAGAAATGGTATTCTATGTATGTGAAATATGACACGATGTATTTATAATAATTTTGTGTGAGTGATAGAAAGAATGAGGTGATTTACCATAATAATTTTGAATATAATATATGAAAACTTTTGTATATTATTTTATATGAAAAAGCAGGCTTGCTGCTTTTACAAAAGCCAAGAAATCTCTCTCCCCCCCCCCATTTAGCTGTGTGAAATATTAAATGGACATTGAGGCATTCAGCCTGCTGACGTGGCAAAATTAAAGAAGGAGGGGAATTCAATATTCTTTGCTTACCTACTGCTTTTAGGGATGCATACTTGTTAAGCTCCTTCCCTGGCGGCTGCTGTTCGTACGGATTTGTGATCTGTCCCATGCTTGGGAAGGAGTGAGGATGTGTCAGCTGTGGGAGAAGAGGTGATGTTGGCACCACGTTGTTCATCTGTGTTGCATCTGTATAAGAGAAGTAAGAGGAAGATCATCTCACTGAAAACAAATCAGACCTCTAAGGTTCAACATCAAGGAAATGTCCTTCCTGTAAGGCAATTTCAGGGGTAGGCAACACAGTGTCCTCCAGGTGTGGTGGAATACAACTCCCATGAACCCCAAGCAGGCATGACCAATGACCAGGGATGATGGGAGCAGTAGTCTAGGGTCACCTAAAGGACACTGTATTACATAATTAGGGTTGAGTGAGCCTGTCAACGTCACTTTCTCATTTCTCCACGTCAGTTTGTGATATTTGCATTGCAGGGAGTTGGACTAGATGATAATAATAATAATAATATCATATAATAATAATAATTTATTATTTATACCCTGCCCATCTGGCTGGGTTTCCCCAGCCACTCTGGGCGGCTTCCAACAGAATATTAAAAACAATACAGCATCAGACATTAAAAACTTCCATAAACAGGGCCGCCTTCAGTTGTCTTTTAAAAGTAAAATAGTTGTTTATTGCCTTGACATCTGCTGGGAGGGCGTTCCACAGGGCAGGCGCCACTACCGAGAAGGCCCTCTGCCTGGTTCCCTGTAACCTCACTTCTCACAGCGAGGGAACCTCCAGAAGGCCCTTGGAGCTGGACCTCAGTGTCTGGGCTGGATGATGGGGGTGGAGACACTCCTTCAGGTATACTGGACCGAGGCCATTTAGGGCTTTAAATATCAGCACCAACACTTTGAATTGTGCTAGGAAACATACTGGGAGCCAATGAAGATCTTTCAGATGACCCTCATGGTCTCTTCCAACTCTACAATCTATAATTCTATATTCTTCATGAAAATTCATCAGCATCTTATTTTGAATTTCTCCTAATATACACATTTATTTATTTTTTTGCAAGCAAATTTTCCTAAAGTGCGTACCTTGCAAAGCAGTTCTCCCGGATACAATGCTTTTTTGTGTACTATTTTCACCTGTATATGCATTTTAACCCTTGTGAATGTATTTAACCCATGTGAATGTACATGTTACTTGAATGAGAATTCCGTTACTAATTGGAGAAATGTGAATTTTAAAAGATTCCTGGCTTTGCATATTGTTTCACACAGTGTGAATTAAGGAAGTTTGTATTTAAATGAAAACCAAAGTAGATTTCCTCCGTTCCCATCTATATGCATATGCATTCTCACTGGGTCAGAACACCACCCCCCTGATGTTAGAAAGGCTGTGGAGGTGAGGTCACACGGCCCCGCACAGGTTTTGTATATGAATTGTAGAAAGGGAAACGTTTGATGCTGACTGTTGTTTGGGGGCATCTTTATAGGTAAAGAAGTAACGCCCCAGAAAAAGCATTGCTATTTTACTAATAAGATCAAAATGCTGTGTGGGTCTTTCTGTCTGTCTGTCTGTCTGTCTATCTATCTATCTATCTATCTATCTATCTATCTATCTATCTATCCATCTTTCCACCAAAACTGGCCAGCAAGGCAGCTTGCTATTCCTTTCTAAAAATGGTATAAAAATAGCCCACTAAATCTAACTTCAACACAACTTAATGCCCTTCCACACATACCACCAAAAACAAGAGAAAGCAGCTAAAAAATAGTAAAATGGGTCATCTTATTTGACATTAGAGGCCCAGAAGAATAGGATGGTTCTAACCAGAAACATAGTAAGTTTTATGAATGTGGCCACATGCACGTGCGCGCGCACACACACACACACACACACACAAATTCGTTAGAGTAAAACTCATCAGAATACATTAGATAAACTATTCTAATACACTTTTAAAAGAAAAACTGTTTTTCCCATGGCTTCATTTTTATTTTTAAGCCCAGTATGCTTCATGTTTGAAGAACAATTTGAAACCAAGTCTCCTACATGAATTGGCAAGACTCTACTGGGTCCAGCCCAAGGTTTATAGCTGCTCTAACACTGCACATCTATTGATTTCTACTCAGAAATAAGTGCCATTCAACTGAATGGGGCTGACTCCCAGGTAAATAGTTTTTGGATGGTAGCCATCTGTTTAGGGAAGTTTTTAATGACTGATGTTTTAATGTATTTTTAATCTTTTGTTGGAAGCCGCCCAGAGTAACTAGGGAAACCCAGCCAGATGGGCAGGGTATAAATAATAAATTACTACTACTACTACTACTAAGTCATCCCAGGGGCCATGGAATACAGTAGGTTCCTTCTCTGACAACGGAGAGGAAGATTCTTCTTCCATTGCTGCAGTATAAGTGGACTCTTAATTGCATATTGTTGGACCCAAGAGGCATCATTCAGGTGGTGAACTTCTAGGCTGTCTCTAATTGCCTCACACTCCTGGAATTTTGGCACCCTAAGTAGCTGAGTTACTTAGCTACTTAGCTAACCTACTTAGTTAACCTATCCATTCTTAAGGAAATCAGCCCTGAGTGCTCACTGGAAGGACAGAGGCTCCAATACTTTGGCCACCTCATGAGAAGAGAAGACTCCCTGGAAAACACCCTGATGTTGGGAAAGATGGAGGGCACAAGGAGAAGGGGACGACAGAGGACGAGATGGTTGGACAGTGTTCTCGAAGCTACCAGCATGAGTTTGACCAAACTGTGGGAGGCAGTGGAAGACAGGAGTGCCTGGCATGCTCTGGTCCATGGGGTCACAGAGAGTCGGACACGACTAAACGACTAAACAACAGCAACAAGTAGCTGAGTTGGCCTCATATAACATCCACAGTATAGCAGTTGCTTGCTCCTCTATTGCCCTATCGTTGAGTTCCTTTCAGCTCAAAAAGAGGATGGGGAAACAGCCACAATACCTTTAATGTGCCTTATTACCTCTTTCCTAATATTTCAACATTAGGGCACTCCCGTTGCCTTTTAATGCTGTCGCTCAACAAAGTGGCTGAGAACCATCTATCACTTGTAACAGCCGTGGCATGGCCAGCTCCAATCTAAATCACAGCACAAATCACACAGCAGTGCCTGATTTCTGCTTACTCCCTACAGAGGAGCCAGAAAGCTGAACTCGTGTGGCAGGCTAGTTAACTCCCCACAACATCAAATTCAGGGTTAGAATGTTCAAGTCCAAGTGGGAGCAATCTTGTTCATGCAGAGTGAATTGTTCCCTTCCCGGGAATCTGGCAGTGGCCTCAATGGCTCTGCAAAGGAAGCCAGGATTTTGAGGGACTCTTGCCACATGATTTTCTGCAAATGGCTAATGGAGCAGAGTAGATCAGCAGGAGCACCCAGGGGAAAACATTAAAAAAACCCACCCTGCCAATACCAAAGGAAATCGCTTGAAAGTCTGAATGCCATTCTCAATTAATAGGGAAAGCAATTCTGAAGAGTGGATGGAGAAATTAGGTGAAATTTCAGGGGGTGGGGGCTTATAATAGATGTCTTGAAGATGGACCTGAAATTCAGGAGAGTGAAATTTTAGAACCCTGGGTGTCATCTCTTGGGTATCACCTGAGTGTCACAAAATCTGTCTTGCATCTGTATCTTTGGTAAGGAGCCTGATCTCTCTTGTAGCTGCTCTATGTCTTTTCAATCCAACTCGTTATTTAGAACCAGTGGCATGTGGTCAGTGGACTAGGGGGACCAGGCTAGTCCCCTAAATGTTTCCGGTAAATTAGAGTATGAAAGTATTAAAGCCTAGTGTCTCCTTCCCAAAACCTGGGAAGCTTCTTCCCCGGGCTAGGGAGGGAGGCGTGATGCTCCAACAGGGTCCAAGAGCCCTCCTGCCACCTTCCCAAAGCCCGCCTAGCAGGCATGATGCTCCTTCTGCCCAGCTTAGGGAGGGAGGCATGATGCTCACCTGTAGGATGTCATGATGTGCTCCCCCCCGTCACCACCACAAGCGGTGCCTCTGGTTCTAACTGCTCCCCTACAAAAAATTTCACCGCACGCCACTGTTCAAAACTGGACTAGACCTGTAACAGACAAAGCTCTAGCCACCCACCCCCACTATAATGGGGAACCTGAAAATAGTTGTTCTCCCCTCCCATTTACACAGAAGTAGATGGAATTTGCAGGTCTGATCCAGCAAGGCTCTTGTTACATTTTTATGTTCTTATGCTATTGTTATAGGTCTTGGGTGCTGGGTTTGCGGGTTCAAGTCATACATAATTCTTAGAATTAGTACAAGTTAGAATCAATCAAGGTTTGATTAAACTGTGCCAAACACGGAGATTCCTGGGTTCCGCTTATGCTAAGGAGCCAGAGGGCTAGCTGAGTGTAAGTCATTAAGGAGCAAAACAGAGTAATGGCCCATCAAGGGAACCATCAAGAGAGAGTGAAGACTGCCAGACAAGGAGAGGTGGGGCTCCTCTTCCAGCTGTGAGCTAGTGGGCAGAGACCACAGAGGATTTAAATGACAAGCAAACAGGAGGAAAATATCGGTTTTGCAAGTGGTTTGGCAAGCAGAGGGGGTGGGGGTGGGCAGAACACCATGTCAGCTGAGGAAGACAGGCTAGAACAAAGAGACAGAGAGAGAATGGAGGATTTTTCTGTCTTTAGACCTAAGCCTGCTAAGCCTATGGAAGAAGCAAGAGCCCCTCTTGAAATGTGATGTGTGTAAATAAAACCGTCTATTATAAAGACACCACAGTCTCTGCTGTGCCTCATTGTCCCAAAAGGGGACACAGACCTTGATAAGCGCAACTGCAAAGCTGTGGAGATTGGGGTGGCATGCAACATTATGTTCTTTTTAATTTTTTAGGGCAAGTTACTGACCTTGACATCCAGAGGCTGACTAGCAGCCTAGGAGTTAAAGAAGTGAAATCTCTAGTTGGAGAATATATGCCTCTTGTATGTCACAAAGATCCATTGCATTGCTTAAACTGATTTTTAATCACGTTTTTTCTTTTTTAGTATCATTCATTTATTGAATTCATATCCCACCGTCCCTTCCAAAGGAGTCACATCCTCAATATAATTTTTTTTATTATAAAACAGTTAAAACATCTAAAAAGAGTTTCAGTTATTCCCCCTCCAAAACACACACACACACACACACACAC